GGTTTAGGATTTGGTTTTTAGGGTTTGGGGTTTAGGATTTGGGATTTAGGGTTTAGGGTTTGGGGTTTAGGGTTTAGGATTTGGGGTTTAGGGTTTGGGGTTTGGGGTTTAGGCTTTGGGGTGTGGGGTTTAGGGTTTAGGATTTGGGGTTTAGGGTTTAGGATTTAGGGTCTGGGGGTGAAAGGCTTCGGGTTTAGGGTTTGGGGGTGTTAGGGCTTAGGGTTCCCTTGGCTCAAGGATTTGGGGGTTCAGAGCTTAGGGGTTTTGTGTAAGGGTAGTTGAAAGTTTAAGGTTTCAGGCTTAAGTATTTGCAAGAGGGATTCAGGGTTTAGGGCTTTAGGGTTGTAAGCGCGGACGAATCTGAACACTGCGTCGCCAAGGTTAGATGTTTTCCAGCAGGAGGCCGTGAACTGCCTAGAGAACAAGGAATCTGTCATGGTCGCTGCACATACCTCTGCTGGCAAGACAGTGGTGGCAGCTGCCCCATTGTTTATTCAGGGCCTGTAGAGTTTAGGAAGCCTTTCTTTTCATGCTTCAAGCAATGTTGGAGCCAAAGTCAGTTGTATTGGAGTACATTCCCCCAAGCTAACATGGAGCTTAAGAAAGGGTCACCTGCGGATTACTGTCTTTTAAAAGGGGGGCTACAAGGGGTCCATGTCAGCTTGGAAAAGGGCCTTGCTTGGTCAACCTAGGCAGAATACGCCATTGCGATGGCCCTCCGGGACAAGCAGAGAATCATCTACACGTCACCCATCAAAGCCTTGAGCAACCAGAAGTACAGAGATCTGCAGGATGAGTTTAAGGATGTTGGCTTGATGACAGGACTGTGCCCAAAGTGGACATGTCCAGAACGCATGTCAAATCTGCCCCCATATGAAACATTAGAGCTAGGGTTTACATTAAGAGCTAGGGTTTACATTCCTTAAGGTTATTTCTATCTTGGATTTTCTAGAGGATTGTTTTAGGGGTATATTAGTGGGGATACTAGGAGTTTAGACAATAGCTCACGTAGACCCTGCCTGTTCCTTGTAAGGCTTGAGCGGAAGTGTTTCGGATGAGATATTGTGTGTGAGAGCCCTGTGAAGGAGATGTCACTATCAACCCGCACGCATCTGGGTTGCCGTTAAGGAACTGAATTAAGGTTACTATATTGGGAAAACCCTATCATTTACATATATATATATACACACATTATGGTAACTTAATTTAAGTTCCTTAACAGCAACCCAGGCATCCTGCATGATCATGACGACGGAGATCCTTCGATCTATGCTGTATCGGGGCTCCGACGTATCACGTGAGATGGCATGGGTTGTCTTCGACGAAGCTGAGCTCCTAAGTGGTTTAGGGTTTAGGGTGTCCCAAATTTTATAATGTTGGTGCTTGTTTCCTTTCTATATTGCCGTTGTGTATTTTCAGGCTTCAAGTTCAAATGAGCGGAGACTATAATAATCCAAAATGATGAACACATATTAGCGCAGACTATAAGAACCCAAAATCAAGATGATGAACAGAATGTTGGCTAACCTGAGTTAGATCTGAGAAAGCCTGCCGTGAAGCCCAGGAAGTCCATTACATGCGAGACCGAGATAGAGGTGAGAGTCTCTCAAAACAACTCCTCCACGGTAGGTTGTCGAACTGATGGTGCTGATTTTGTTGGGTCCCCCCAGCCTGATACGTCACCCAATATACTGATGGTGCTGATTTTGTTGGGTCCCCCCAACCTAATACGTCACCCAATATTCTGATGGTGCTGATTTTGGTGGGTCCCCCAGCCGAATACATCACCCAATATACTGATGGTGCTGATTTTGGTGGGTCCCCCCAGCCTAAAACGTCACCCAATATACTGATGGTGC